GACAGCAGCGTCGGTCGTGGTGACCACTCTGAGAAAGTGCACTGGCAAGGAAGCTCGAAGAACACACAAGGCGCGCAACACTTGGTAAGTGTATCGCACATCCCCACCCAAAGGGAAGAGACACGTAACTGAACGTACCCTGCGGTCCAACTAACTTGACCATGACCAAACCACCCTCACCAGCTGAATTCTCAAAGCTTGCAGTTCAACTCCACCTGCTTACCTCTGAGCGGTTTCACGCACTGTTAACTCTCTCTTCAAAGTACTTTTCAACTTTCCCTCACGGTACTTGTTCGCTATCGGACTCGTGCTTGTATTTAGCCTTGGATGGAGTTTACCACCCGCTTTGGGCTGCATTCACAAACAACCCGACTCCAAGGTCTACCCAGAGAAGCACTGGCCTGCCGAATCTCCACCCGAACGGGCCTTTCACCCTCCATGGGCCATGTCTGTACTACCGTACTCATTGATGGACTTGGGGTGGAGCAGTGCTTCTGCGGAACGACCTAAACACCACATTGCCTAATGACCAACTGGCCACAGGCTTCGGTGCTGGGCTCTTCCCTGTTCACTCGCAGTTACTGAGGGAATCCTTGTTAGTTTCTTTTCCTCCGCTTAGTGATATGCTTAAGTTCAGCGGGTAATCACGTCTGATCCGAGGTCAGGATTGGAGAGTATAACTTCGGACATTGCTACACGAGATGAGAAACGGAGCGCGCATAACCAATACTGAGCCACGACTCCGTCGACACATCTCCACCTGGTTACCAACCAGATGTGTGTATCCGGATACATTAGGGAGACGCCATAGATCTGACACCTCCGACGTTTACGTCGGAGGATTGTAGCCAGCTGGCAAAACCCAAGCCACGACTTTTTGGGCGTCGTGATAGTTTATAAGCCGACCCTCGGACAGGCGTGGCCACAGGCTAACCCATGGCCGCAATATGCGTTCAAGAAGTCGATGTTCAAAGCAGTATGCAGTTCACATTAATTCACACAGTTGGCTGCGCTCTTCATCGACACACGAGCCGAGTGATCCACCGCTCAGAGTTGTACATGGCTTAGTCACTCGGTTACCCGGGTGATAAGTCATTTTCACAGTCAAGCCCAGGTCAAGGCAACGCTAGGCGACTGTAAATGCAACCCAGCGTATGCCGGGAGCATTAATGAGCATTGATTCATGCAAGCCGAAACCAGCATGAATCACCCATAATGTAAAATGAAGGAAGCATAGGGCGGTGGCCGAGCCGTAGCTCTTGATATTCACCACTCATTGAGCCTAGTACCGTTATGTTGACAGTACACCCCGTCCCCACAACAGAGGCTGACGACCATAGGCCGAGAGTATGTCGCGGGTATTCGACAGGTAGGCACCCAGAGCAACGAGTGACTGTGCGTAGCGGAGTTCTCCGCAGGCATAGCCTTTGCGAATGCCAGCAAACAGTTAATCATTCATATGACATCCAGGCGGTGGCCGAGCCGTAGCTCTTGATATTCACCACTGATTGAGCCTAGTACCGTTATGTTGACAGTACACCCCGTCCCCACAACAGAAGCTGACGACCATAGGCCGCAAGTCTGTCACGGGATTTTGACAGGTAGGCACCCGGAGAAAGGAACTGTGCGTAGCAGAGTAAATCCGCAGGCATAGCCCTTGTAAATGTCAACCATCGGCTGAGCATTCGGAAACAACATCAGGGCGGTGGCCGAGCCGTAGCTCTTGATATTCACCACTCATTGAGCCTAGTACCGTTATGTTGACAGTACACCCCGTCCCCACAACAGAGGCTGACGACCATAGGCCGAGAGTATGTCGCGGGTATTCGACAGGTAGGCACCCTGGGCAATGAGCGACTGTGCGTAGCGGACATGTCCGCAGGCATAGCCAAATGGAAATGACGAGTATGACGACTCGTACTGAATAATGTCAGCCACCAGCTGATCATTTGGAATTAGGAGAGCTGTAATGATCCTTCCGCAGGTTCACCTACGGAAACCTTGTTACGACTTTTACTTCCTCTAAATGATCAAGTTTGGTCGTCTTCTCAGCACCGGTCGAGTCGCCGAAGCAACTACAATGGCACCAATCCGAGGACCTTGCTAAACCACTCAATCGGTAGTAGCGACGGGCGGTGTGTACAAAGGGCAGGGACGTAATCAGCGCAAGCTTATGACTTGCACTTACCAGGAATTCCTCGTTCACGGGGAACAATTGCAAGCCCCGATCCCAGTCACGACGGTGATGATACAGTTTGCCCAACCCTCTCAGGCCAGGATTCCAAACTCGCTGAAACCGTCATTGTAGCGCACGTGCGGCCCCGGACATCTAAGGGCA